GCATCAGACGCGAGGAGAGGCAAGGTGGAGGTTCGCGGCGATTGAGGTCAGCAAGCATGAGCTCGTGGAAGAAAGCCACCAAGGGACATTGCCTTCGGTGGTAGTACGATCGACACTCAGTCGAGCAGACCCGAGCCCTACGTCAAGAGGCGGCCACGAGAGGAAGATCCAGTTATGGGATCCAGACAAACTTGCTTCAATGTCGACCTGGAGGAGACGATCTATGCGCATCCTGTTCGAGAACTTCGTCGACCTGCACGGCGCTGGCTACGGGGGCCATGGAGGGCAGCGGCATCGTTTCTAGGAGGTGGAGACAGCTCTGCAGGACCACCATGGACGACGGCAACTGCATATTCTTGATGAGCATGACGAGCGCGTTCCACTGGCCAGCCAGCCCTGGCATCCCAGCCGCCGATGAGGACACCACTGCGACGCGCCATGGCGGCGACTCCCTGGCCGAGGGCCACCACGAGCAGCTCGATGAGATGGATAGCCGCCAGAAGCAGCAGCTCGAGGTCACGACCAGCAGACGGATCGGCTCCGAGCAGCTTGGCGGGACACAATTCCTCAAGGAGGTCATCGGCCACACTGACAAGTTGCCAGAGACAGAGGAGCCAGGCGTTTACTGGACGGCTGGCTTCGAGCACTTCGACTCCCCGTTGCAGTGGGCGCAGAAGCAAGGAAACAAGTCAGCTCTGACGCGCGGCACCATGGCGGCGGCTCAGGGGCGACGAGACACTCTAGATTTTCATTGTCTCAAGAACGTGCTCGAGACGCCGCGGGCGATGCAAATTCTTTTCTCTATTTGTCTCCCGACAGGCCTTCCACGGCGCGCGCCAGCAGGGCAGCCGCGCAGCACGCGTCGGCGTTGAAACGCAATGTGCTGACGCATCATCTGGCCAACGGCCGGGGCGATGCTGCGAAGGCAAGCCTCTCTTCGCATGGCGGTAATCTCTACAACCGACACCAGAAGGAGTTCGAGATGATGGCAATGGAGACTGGGCTCCTACAACAGACCCTCAGAGGATGTCAACTAGCGGTGCAGCAGTACGATGCGGCGACCAGACGTGGGACTGCCGTCCGGCGATCCAGAGCACCATTGCATTGAGTTCGGGAAAGCCCGAGACGCACGCGATTGGCACCGCCACAGCAAGAGGACCCCTGCGCAAGACCGACCTCATCGAGACCCGCAGCCCCAGCCACTTGAATGTCTACAGTGACAGCACAGCTAATAGGGGCATGTGCCAGAGTACCGGCGCGGTCAAGGCGGGGCATCTAGAACTCAGGTTTTGGGAGCTTTCAAGAGCGACTTCGATTGAAAGCATTAGAGCTGCTCAGGAAGCACATGGGCGAAATGACTGCAGACCTTCTCAGGAAGCACAGCGAGTTTCCGATTATCGAGAAGCATTGCACAGCTTGCAATTTCAGATCCCGGGGCTCGAGCGCAGCCGCGGTTTTGAAGGCAGCTGTGGCGACAGATTCGGCTACTACGAGCGTGGAGGTGCCTGTAGAACGAAAAAGGTAGCGGTTTGCCCCGCGCCCTCCAACTACGACGATGAGGAGTTCTGGAGCACCCCGAGGACGATGGCGGCGCTCGTGGCGACGTTCATCCTTCGATGTTGTCGCGGGTGCTATGCGAAGGAGCTCGTCGGCAAGGTCTCAGAACGGATGGCGGACAGCCCCGCGCTCTCTGTCACCAGGATGCTCAAGGAGGCCGAGGAAGGCGACGCGGCTGGACGCGACCCAGTGCCACGTCAAATTGACAAAGGTGCACGGCGCAAGCTAATCACGACGCCTCGCGCGGCGTACACGCAGCTGCGTCCTCCGAGCGAAGTGTCCAACAGCGACAGGGGCCAGGGACAACTCGATGAGCAGGCTTCCGGACAAGGGTGGGACCCTGAGCGAGAAGGGAGCTAAAAAGATGAACAGAGAGAGAGAGAGAGAGAGACAGAGAGGCCACGCGTGGAAGCCTCGTCGAGTGGGCCACTGCCGGAGATGAACGTAAGCGACCTGGCGCGCCAAGTAGCACTGCGGAGGTGGATGGGGGCGGCGAGAGGCGAGTGTCGCGACCCCCCCACAGCCATTACCTGACACGCAGCGGGGGCAAGAAGGCGGTTGCAGGAAGAACGCCACACAGCCCAAACAGACCGAGCAGCGAGAAAGTTGTTGTTAGACCCGCATTATGCACAGCGGTTGGACCCACACGTGGGCGCGCGACTGCGCCTGGGGATTCACAGTCATGGCCCTTGCTTGCGTTAGTTTTGCGGCTGGCCAAGCCGCTTCGTAGCGCCCGAGGGGGGGGGGGGCTGGGAAGCATGTAGATTGATGCACGCGTATGACTATGATTTTTTAACAAGGCGGTTAAGCTGAGGAGCTGGAAGCATGTTGCCCACCGCTTGGCTCAAAAAATCGGAACCTCCCTCCTTCTCCTTGCAGACGGGGGCCGCGCAAGAAGCTAGAAGCTCAGACTGACACGCGCAGATGTAGTGTTCCAGCGCCGCTTTCGGCCGCATCTTTGCCCCCCCTTCCTGCATGGTGGCACGATTCGCTCTAACGGTATCCACGTTTAGCCTTTTTCCGCTAGCGCATTCGACCCCTGCCTCGCCGCCGACGCAGCAAAGTTTTGGCGCCGCGGGCCCCGTCGGATGACATCAGCACCCGGGAGACCAGAAACAGCACCAAGAGGAAATCACGAAACATGCGACTAACAAGACAGCAGCACGGCAGGGGCCCTCACAGTCTGGTGCCAAGCGTGCGTGTTCGAGTCAACAGGCGCGCCAGGGGCAGTGCAGCAACAAGCGAAAAAGCAATGAGATCCAGACACGAACGAAGAGGCAAAGAGATGAGCAAGCTCACAACGAGCGAGGGGCAATATACAGGAAAGCTAAAAGCACGCGGGAAGCTAGGTCAAAGCTCATTGAAAGAAAATTAAAGAAGAGCCGAGCGACCAGCCAAGGGCGAATCCCAAGGCAAGCTGACCAGAGGCGAGAAGCATTCGAAAAGTAATGAAAACGCAAACCAGTAGCAAGTTCAACGTAATTCACACCAAAGTCCAGGGCAAGCTTGAACGCAAACGAAAGGCACGCTTCAAGGTACGCTGGAGTATATGTTGGCAGTGTAAGGGTGGACTACGGGCATGCGGCATGCGAGCGTAAAGCTCGTCACAAACAGGAGAAATGTTGGCAACAGGCAAGCTGGAGGAGAAAGCAGGAAGTAAGCTTTACGCAATGCCAAACATAGATTTGAAGCGCAACGGGGATCCCCAGGGAATCGAGGACCCCCTCCCGAAGAACTACGGGGGGGGGCGAAGAAAAACGGTCTTCCCAAGGAACCCAGCTTCTGGTCGATATACCCACCTCCCCAGATTTCTGGGGAGCTTCAACAAGTTGCGCCTGAGGCTTCTCACGGCTTTTCTGTGTCAGGGGGCAACTTACAGACTCTAGGAGCTTCAACAATCGATCGGGATGGAAGAATATCAGCCAGCGTTGACTCCAAATAGATAGGAGGACAGGAGAGGACGAGAGAAGGATGGGAGGAGGACGAAAGGAGGACGGGAGCAAGACGGGAGGAGAACGGGAGGAGCAAAATCAAGCAAGCGCAAGCAAGCAAGCGGAAGCAAGCAAGCGCAAACGAGCAATAACAAGCAAGCAAGAGCTAGCGATCAAGTGCAAACAAGCAAGGGCAAGCAATAGCAAGCAAGCGAGAGCAAGCACACAAGAGCAAGCAAGCAAGCGCCATTGGAAAAAGGGGGGCCATTGGAACAAGAGGGTGTGCCATTGGAAAAAGGGGGGGTCCTGAAAGACCAATTACTTATGATGCGCTAGGACTCCTATAGGGCAAGCCTGTTTGGAGAATAGTCAGGGGGAAGGGGTCGGGAGTCCCAGGGGATCACGACTTTAAAACAAAAAAATGGAAATGTGGGCCTCCTCTTGCTAGGAGGGAGTTAGGAACCCATGATCAAATCTCGATTGAGGGTGAAGGTGAAGGGGAGCTGGAGTCTGAGAGATGCTGCAAGGGGAGCTGGAATCTGGAGGAAGCTGAGGCAAAGCTGAGGATATGGTGGAACGCTGGAACTGGGGAACACGTTGAAAAAAACTGAGGCCACTAATCCGCACAACTCTCGTCAGTCGTAGTAAATCCTTGGAGTGAGTAATCATCGTCCCACCATCATTATCATTATCAGTATCGTATTCAGCGCCATCTACATGTGCATCGTCATTCTCATAACTGCTCCATCATCGTTCCACCCACCCTAATCGTCCCATTGCCTTCCCCATCCTTCTCTACCTCTACCCATCCCATCCCCTCCCCCTCCCTCTCACTTCCCAAGCTCTCATCCTATCCTCGACCCCCAAATGCCCTCCCACATCCCTTTTCCATTTCGACCCCCCTCCCTCCCCCCTCCGTCCCCCACTCCCCGCTCCACCTCCCACGCCCTTCCCCACTCCGTCTCGCTCTCCCCCCTCCCCCACCCATCCTCATCCTCCGTCTTGGGGCTCGGGCCAGTCGAGGACGCGGCCAGCGGGGGGCCCCCAGCGCCTGCCGACGCCGCGCCTCCCCGGCCACATGCGACCCGGCAAGGCGCCGCCGCGGCCACCGCATGCGGGCCCGGCGCGCCCAGGCGACCGGCCTGCCCTGGCGAGGCACCGCGGACCCGCCGCGCGCGGCGAGCGGGGGCGCCGATGGCGCGGCGGCGCGCGCGCTCACGCGGCGGGTGACGCGGGCGCGCTCGGCGGCGGAGGCGCTGGCCATCGCGCGGGAGGAGGCGCCGCGCCTCGACGCCATCAGCGCCGCCGCGTGCCTGTGCCGGGTGGCCCGGCTCGGGGCCCCGCCGCCCACAGTGGGCGAGCCCGGGCTGGTGGCCCTGCGCGGCCGGCTGGGAGCGCTGCTGGAGAGCGGGGGGCTGTCGCCCTCGCTGCTTGCGGCTTGCGCCTGGGCGGCGGCGGCGCTGCACGCCAGGGGCGTGGCGCTGTGGCCGCCGCTGGCGGGGCAGCTGCAGCCGGCCCTGCACGAGCTGGAGCCCCGGCACTGCGTGGGTCTCGCGTGGGCGCTGGCCACTCTGCAGGAGGCCGCCGGCCCAGCGGGCCCCGCGCTGCTCACTGGACTGGAAGCGGAGCTGCCTGCGCGCCTGCGCGAGGCCTCGCCCCAGGGCGTGGCCAACGTGCTGTGGGCGTGCACTCGGCTCGGGAGGGCTGGCGGCCCCGCCGCCAAAGCCGCCATGGCAGCGGCGACCCAGCGTGCGGCCGAGCTGGCGCCGGTGGACGCGGCCAGCGTCGCGTGGGCCTGCGCGCCAGCGACGACGTTGGCGCCGCCACTGGCAGACGCGCTGGCGCTGCGGGCACCAGCTGGCGCCGGGCAGTTCTCGCCACGGCACGCGAGCAACTTGGCATGGGCGCTGGCCACCACGGCGCCGCGCAGTCCACTTTGTTGCGAGGCAGTGGCGCCCCTGGCCACCGCCGCATGCGCATCGAGACACCTGGCAGCGTGCGACCTGGCAGCCGCAGCCTGGGCACTGGCCGCCGTGGTCGCCCGCACGCCGCCGGCCCCACCAGCGCTGGCGGCAGCGGCGCGGCTCAGGGCCGCCGAATTATCCCCGCAGGGCTTCGCCACCCTCGTATGGTCGCTTGCCGTCACGTCCGCCGGCGCGCGCTTGGGCCTGGTGCCCACGCCGATGGTGTCCGAGCGCGCCGAGGTCAGGCGGGGCTTGCCTCCGCTACCGGACCCCTCCCCGCCGCTTCCCTTGCCCGCGCCTCTCCCCCCTCTCCCCTCGACCTCTCTTCGCCCCCCTCGTCTGCCTTCGGCGGGTGCCAGACGTCCGCGCGGGCCTTTCAGCTCCGCGCTGAGGCACTCGACGCGGGGCAGCTGGCGCGGGTCCTGTGGGCGCTGGCAGCGCAGAGGTGCGCGGCCGAGGCGCCCCTGGCGTCCCACCTGGCGGCCCTGGCGCTCGACAGGGTCGGCGAGTTCGGAGCCCAGGACCTGGCCAACGTCAGCTGGGCCGCCGCGACCTCCTTCGCGGGCGGCCCTGCAGCGCCTCTGCTGCAGGCGGCGGCGGCGGCGCCAGCGCAGCTGGCCGCCAGCTGCGAGCCGCGCCACCTGGCGGCCGTGGCGTGGGCGCTGGCGGCGAGCGCCTGCCACCACGCGCGCCTGTCGAGCGCGCTGCCCGCGCAGCCCGCCCACAGGGCCCGCGAGTTCGGGGCGCGCGACCTGGCCATCAGCGCCTGGGCGCACGCCGCCTGGGGCGGCGGAGCCGGCGCGCTCTCCGCGGCGTTCCGCGCGGAGGTACGGCGGCGGAATCCGAGACCCGCCCTCGCCGATCCGCGAGTCGGGCCACGCGGTGGGCGGCGGGGGTTGGGGTTCGGAGGTCGCCGAAGGCGTGGGGAAGTCCGAACCCCACACACGCCGGTCGTGGAGAGTAGGTATATTTCGGGGTTCCCAGGTCCACATCTGCTTCAAGCGCCTTGCCACTTCACCAGCCGATGTGAGCTTGCTGTGGGTTGTTGTTCTCTGGGAGGGCCTGAGCCCAAACTACTTTGTCCGCCTTCCTACTTCGTGGTCCTACCTACTTCTTCCGACCGACGTGTACCCCCACCGCCCCCGCACCCCCGACGTCGTGATTTTTTCACAACGTCGGCCCCCAGATGCCTGGACCCCTTCCCCTGGACCGGTTTTCCATCCTGAGTCGTGTGCTGACGGCCCCGAGGCTTGGGAAGCGCCCCCAGAGGCCGAAAACAGCGAAAGACCTCCCGTCGTGATTTTCGCTAGGGGGCCACATGCGAACCCTACCCCTACCCCCCGCGATTTCTGAGGGGTGGGGGGGGGGTCACTTCGCTCGGGAGCTCCCGAGCGAAGTGAACCCCACCCTCCCCCCCAGAAATCGTGGGGGGCAGGGGTTAGGGTTCGCATGTGGCCCCCTATTCGTCACAGCGCGAGGAGCTCTGGGCCCGTCGGTGCGGGAGCATCGCTGCAGTTGGCAGAGGGCAGGGCCCGGACGTCGCCGCCCGGAGGTGCTCCCCAGGCTGCCGGGCCTGGGGCCGCAGGACGTGTCCAACCTCTGGTGGGCCCTGGCCGCGCTGGCCGCACGCGCCTCGGCCGCACCCCGCGGGTCGGAAGGGGCCTCGCCGGCCGCCGTCGCAGCGATCGCAGGGGCCAGGGGGCCCGACCCGTCGGACCGCGCGGTCGGGCTGGCTCGACCTCTCCCCAGACCTCCCGCAGTCTCTTGGAGGAAGCACGGCGCAGGATTTCTCGGGCCGTCTTCGGCATGCGGGGGCCCTCGCTGGGCCCCAGGGCGGTCCCAGGGAAGGGGGCCAGATCTCCGGGGGTCCGCGTCGTGAAAACAAACAAAACAAAATAAAAAAACAAAAAAAAACAAACGACAACACAAAACAATATATATAGTGTATAGATAAATATATATTAAAAAGAAAAAATTCGAAGAAGAGGTCTCGGTCACCGACGGCCCCGGGGCGCCATCCGGTCCGTCAGTGCTTCGCGGACGGCGCGATATAAGAGGGCCCAGGCGCCCGAGCTCTCGGGGTGGATCGGCCGCCGCGCCGCGGGTTGGGTCCCTGCGGGGGCAGGTCTGGGAGGGGAGCGGGCCTCTCTGCACTCGGCCAGGAGTGCCGGGCGCTCCGAGCACCCCTTCGAGAGGCCCGAGCCCACGAGCCTCGCCGGCCCATCCGGGCCAGCTGCACACCCTCCTCCTCCTCCTCCTCCTCCTCCTCCTCCTCCTCCTCCTCCTCCTCCCCCTCCTCTCCCCTCCCCCTCCTCCTCCCTCCGCTCGTGGGCGGCGCGTGGCCGAGAGGCAATCGGGAACAGATCTCCTCTGCACTCCCCATCGCCAGGCTCGGTCAGCAGCGTTGGCCTTGGGCGGGCGAGCGGCGCGGGGATCGGCCCCTGCGCAGAGGGGGGCGGGGGGGGAGGGGGCAGGCTTCTCAGAAGGAGGCTGCCTCTTGGGAGGATGTGGTCTCGGCAACCAGTTTGGAGGCTTCGCCGCCAGAGGCACCAACAGCCCATAGGCGCGTGCAGCTTCGGAGCCTCTGGAACCGAGGTGAGGGACGAGCCGCTCGCGCTCGGCCTGGCCTCGGCCGCGCGCCACCAGCTGCGCGGCCTGGAGCCACAGCACATCTGCAACGTGCTCTGGTCGGCGGCCACGCTGGCAATGGAGGCACGCGACCGCCAAGGCCAGGCGATTCAAAGGCTCACGACCATGCTGGATGTTTTGGATCATGCTTGTACGAACTTGCATTCCAGTGGACCCGCTCTGCTCTGTCGGCAATGCTGGCGGTTGCCATGGCCCCAAGGAGCCCCATTGCCCTTGTTTGTTTTCGCTGCCGACTACCCCGGTCGCTGCCACTGGCCCCGATTAGCCGCATGATCTTGGCCTGCAGACAGCCCAAGTAGCTGTCACGTGTTGACCAGTTGGCCCAATTGCCTAGTGTATCGACACTAGCTGATGTTGGCCACATCTAGCCCCCTTTCCATGCTTTGGTGACAAAGCTGGTAGCTGCCACCAGACCCGATGAGTTCCATTGCCTTCGTCAATCTTGGCCACCAGCCCCCGACTAGCCCAGTTTGCCTTGGTCTGCCAGCAGTGTTGCTGAGCTGCCACTGGCCCTAGCCAGCCTCGAGTCGCCTGCATAATCCTTGGTCCGCCGTCAATGCTGGTAGTCGCTGCTAGCCCCGACTTGCCCCATTGCTCTGCACAGTCGACCATGCTGGTGTATAGCTGCCACCAATAGCACCGACTAGCCCCAGCTTGGCCCATGGTGCCCATCACCTTTCTCTGCCGACAGTGCTGGTAGTTGCCATAAGTCCCGATTGGAATCATTGCACAGGTCTGCCATGAATGCCAGCAGTTGCCACTTGCACCTCCTAGCTCTACTACTCATTGTACCTGGCTCTGCCCAATATCCCAGTAGTGGCCATTGTCCCCGAAGAGCCCCGTTGCTCTTCTTTCTTGCGAACCTCAGCAGTTGCCACTGTCGGGGAAACGCAAGACTCGAGCACTCCAGAACTAGGGTTTGCCGACGCTTGTTGACGAGCGCGTCCCGGATCTTGACGGTCCAGTTTTCGTGAGATGTCTGCAGCGGGAGCCCGCGCCAAATTTCAAATTGGGCCTCGTCATTCTCATGATGGCCCCCGTCGGGCCAACCCGAGATTCCCGTACCCGAGTCTTACGTCTCCCAGGCACGAGCTTCGGGTAGCCTTGACGGGCTTCGTTTCCTCTGTCGGCGAACGGAGGCGGGGAAGGGTCAGAGAGGCGCGAAAGACACCCTGCCGGGCCTGCAAGAGGATCCACACAGCCTCCCAAGAGGGCTCGCAGGCGATCCGCATCTGACAAGATTTGGTGGAAGTCCTCGGGTATTGATGCGGACTCCTGGGCCCTCAGCGCGCGCGGCTGGTTCCTTCATGTACTTGTGTGTACCAGGTGTGCAGATATGAGCGTGCATGTACACATCCTTGCATATACATATGTGTATACATAAAATGTATGCACATTGCGTGTGCTTGCGTATATGCGCATGTGTGCACATCATCGCCTGCTTCTGTTTGAGCGCATTCTGCCAGGGGTGACGGGGGTGTCGACAACGCTTGGCTGCGCGTAGTACAGAGACCCTTTAGCGGAAGCGCTGCAGCACTTGGTTTAACAAGAAGAAGAAGAAGAAGAAGAAGAAGAAGAGGAAGATGAAGAAGAATAATCAGGAACAGGGGATAATAGTACAGAGAAGAAGAAGAAGAAGAGAATTAGTAAAAGGGCATAAAGAGGAGGAGGAGGAGGAGGAGGAGGAGGAGGAGGAGGAGGAGGAGGAGGAGGAGGAGGAGGAGGAGGAGGCAGAGGAGGAGGAGGCGGCACGGAGGCGCGCGGCTGCTCGCTGGGCTCTCCACCCGGCTGCGCCACCAACTGCCCGCGGTGGGCCCCCTCGGGCTGGGCAACGCGGCCTGGGCGCTGGCGAGCCTGGTCGGCGCGCCCACGCGGCCCTCCGCGCGGGCCCGGCGCGCCCCGGGCAGCGGCCGGGCAGCAGGCGCGGAGAAAATGTCGGTGGAGGCACAGATGGTGCCAGCGATCCTCGCCTCCTCGCCCTCTCCCCCTCCCCTCCCCCCCCTCTCCTCCCCTCCCCCCTCCTCCCTCCTCCCCCCTCCTCCCCCTCCTCCTCCTCCTCCTCCTCCTCCTCCTCCCTCCTCCTCCCCCTCCTCATCCTCCTCTTCCTCCTCCTGCCCCTCCTCCTCCTCCTCTTCCTCCTCCTCCTCCTCCTCCTCCTCATGTTCCTGCTCCTCCTCCAACTATCGATCTATATCGGAACCGCTGTCTATTTATCAATAGACTGGACAAACACGGAGCAACCGTGGGAAAACCACGGGACAATCACGAGACAACCACCAGAAAACCATGGGACAACTGCTCGACGAACACGGGACAATCACGGGACAACCACGGGACACCAATATACATATCTACAGGTGCCGTTCCCAAGCTAGTATTACCATTATCAATATACCAGTCGGTATCACTATCTATCGATCTTACAACTTACCTGTGGAAATCATGATCAATATGTTGATACTTCTCGTTTCCAATCGCCTCAATACCCATTGTTCGATTTCACTGTCAATATATGTACCAAAATTGATACTACTGTCCTTCTACGGGCCTCAATGTCTACCGACCTATCTACCGACAGGGCATCCGCAGGACAACCAAAAGATAACGACGGGACAACCACTGGACATTCACGGGACACCCACAGGACAACCACCAGACAACCACCAGACAAACACCGGACAACCACGGGACAATTGTGAAACAACCACAGGACAACCGCGGGACAACCACGGAACAGCCTTGTGCACGCCCCAGCAACGATCGGGATAGCAATTGGACAACCGCGGGACAACCCCGCGCACGCCTTAGAAGGCTGGACCGCGATCAATTCTAGACACTTGGCGTAACCCAAGGGTTTCTGCGATGGTTAGTCACCTACACCGGGAAGAGTGCGAAATTGGTCGCGAGCCGCAGGAGACGGGGCAGGGAGAAGACAGAGAGGACCTTGCCGACCGTCCAACACAACCCACTGGCGACACGACCCCTGGGAACACCCAGCCGCCTCGGATTCCAACAGACTCTGCGACGGTCAGTCGCCCCCACTGGGAAGAGTGTGAAGGTAGTCGCGGGTCGCAGGAGGAAGGGGAGCCCTCAGTTGGGAAGGAGCTCAGTTGGCACAGTCAGGGTTGGCATAACCAGGGTTGGAACAGTCATGGTTGACATAGTCCGCGCGGTCGGAAATAGCACAACCACGGTTGGCACAGTCAGCAACAACTGCTCGAGTAAATGTTCTACCAGTCTCCTCCTCTCCTCTCACACCGCGTGCCTGGCGTGCACTTCCTTTCCTCCCCTCCTCCGCGTGTCCCTTCCTCCCCTCCTGCATCCTAACGCTGCAGCGGTTAGCTGCCACACCGGGGTGCCTACCGTGCCTGGCGTTCACTTCCCCTCCTCTCCTTTGTTTCACCGGGTTTATCCCGCGCGGCTGGGGTTGCCGCCAATACTGCTGTCTGATGGTGTTCTGACAGCCTGAATTCCATGCAAGGATCACACTGGCAATGGGCGGTCAGGTGGCCCCTGGCCTGCTCCTGGCTGGTGTCGGCCTCTACTGGTGACCGAAGAGTTCAGTGGGGTCTTGCTACGAATTCCATGCATGGATCACATTGGGAATTGGCGGTCAGGTGGCCCCTGGCCTGCTCCTGGCTGGTGTCGGCCTCCGCTGGTGGCCGAAAGGGTTCAGTGGGGTCTCGCACGCTGCCGACCTCCACGGTGCTAGGACTTCGGCATGTGTGGCTCAATGCGCCCGTCGGCTGCTTTCTCCTGCAAGGACTTCGCTTTCGACATGTGCCACTAATGTACAAACAAGAGGCACCGCCGTTTGCAGTCCTATCTGTGACGAGGTTGCCCCTCTTCACTCTTGCGCTGACACGATGCAGTTGTGTCGCCTACGGCACGGACGTCGTCCGGGTGTGCCTGTCGGTCCTGCTCGTCTCTGACGGCGCCTTGTGCCGATTCACACCGAGTGATTGACCTCTGCGTGATTATGGTCGCGCCGCCGCGCCATTTTGGCTGCGCTTACTTGCTGGTCGCCACCGGGATCTCCACGCCACCGGGTTGGGAGTTTCGTTTCTGGCTCTTCTTCTGAGTGGGTGCCCGCGCGCTCGCTTCGCTTGCCTCTTATTTCTTGCTGCCTAGTCGCGGCCCGACTAGTGTTCGGACGGCTTTCGACCTGCTTCGCGAGCCCGCAGACCAAAAAGAAAACACCAGCCCATCCAGAAACGAGGCCCGGCGGAGTTGCCTCGATCAAGGAGGGGGGCAGCTCGCAGAGGAAGGGTCCCCCAGTGGAGGCCTCTTGGAGCGTCTTGGGGGCCTCTTGGCGGTTCCAGAAGCCTTTCGGAGCGTCTGGGGTGCTTCGGGGAGTTTCTTGGGTCCTCTTGGGAGTCTCCTCGGAGCCTCTTGGGCGCCTTTTGACGCCTCCTGGGGCCTCATGGGCGCTTCTTGGGGCCCTGTTGAAGCGCCCTCGGGAGCCTTGGGAGCGCTCTTGGGGCCATGTTGGAGGACATCGATCGAGCATCGATCGATGTTGGTTTCCTCGCCGAGGCCGTTCTGGACGCCCTGACACCTCGCGACCGGCCCCGTCCAGGTCCAGGGGAGCAGGCAGAGAGGGGGAGGAGTAAACCCTTCCCCAAAACGGAAGAGGGGATGATGGAAGAGAAAACACCCTAGACTACCTACGTCCTAAAGGGCTGGTGGGATTTTTGCACGATTCGGATTTAGTTTGGCGACGGATCCGCGCTGTTTCGCCTCGCACGCACGAACGTCACGCACGACACGAACCGAAATTCTAGACGCTTCGCGTATCCCCACCAGCCCGTGCCCCCGCGCGCGCTCGGGAATTTAGTCGCGGCCGCAGACCGCCCGCGACCGCCCGCCGCTGGCGCTTCCGCCTGCGGCTGCATCATAATAATAATAATAATAATAATAATAATAATATAACAAAAAAAAAAACAAAAAAAAAAAAAAAAAAAAAAAAAAAAAAAAAAAAAAAAAAAAAAACGTTCAGAAACGACGCCCAGGCGAGTAGAGGGTCGTCCTGAGGGGCTTTTCGGCGTCTTGGGTGCCTCGGGGGGGCCTCTTTGGGCCGTTTGGGATCCTCTTGGGGGCCTCCTGGGGGCCTCTTGGGGCCATCTTGGGGCCATCTTGGGGCCTCTTGGTGCCTTCTGGGCGCTTCTTGGGGCCATCTTGGAGGAAATCGATCAAAGAAGAGGGGAGCTTCAATTAGTGCTGCCCCCTCTGGGGGCCAAAATGGGGCCAAAACCTTAGTAAAATAAATGATTTGGGCTTCCTCGGCGAGGCCGTTTTGGACGCTCTGACCGCTCCCCGCCCCCCTTGCCCAGGTCAGTGGGGAGGGGGTAGGGGGAGGGGTAAACCCCTCCCCGAAGGGGAAGAAGGAGGGGTGGAAGAGGAAACGCTCTAAACCACCGACGCCCAGAGGGCTGGTGGGATTGAAACCGATGTCCTGGTTGGGCGATTCCGTTTCGCTTCGGCCTCACTTCCCAACCTCCGACGACAACGAACATAACAATGGCAACTAGAACGGACAGTGTACACATGCGAATATTTGCGATGACGAGTGCAACCTGGAAACGAATCCCACCAGCCCTCTGGGCGTTGGTGGTTTAGAGCGTTTCCTCTTCCACCCCTCCTTCTTCCACTTCGGGGAGGGGTTTACCCCTCCCCCTACCCCCTCCCCACTGACCTGGACAGGGGGGGCGGGGAGCGGTCAGAGCGTCCAAAACGGCCTCGCCGAGGAAGCCAAAATCATTGATTTTACTAAGGTTTTGGCCCCATTTTGGCCCCCAGAGGGGGCAGCACTAATTGAAGCTCCCCTCTTCTTTGATCGATTTCCTCCAAGATGGCCCCAAGAAGCGCCCAGGAGGCACCAAGAGGCCCCAAGATGGCCCCAAGATGGCCCCAAGAGGCCCCCAGGAGGCCCCCAAAAGAAGATCCCAAACGGCCCAAAGAGCCCCCCCCGAGGCACCCAAGACGCCGAAAAGCCCCTCAGGACGACCCTCTACTCGCCTGGGCGTCGTTTCTGGACGGGCTGGTGGGGATACGCGAAGCGTCTAGAATTTCAACTGGATGGCAGCCATGAAGGCGCAATGACACATCTCACATTGCCGAGTCGACCTTAAACGCCAGCCACACAGCAGCACTACGTGGAAAATTCTGAACCATAGCAGTTATGGTAGCGTTGAGTCGGGCACGTCCCGCTACAGGAGGACCTTCAGAAATAGTCAAAAGATAGTCTGGGGATGCTTTTCCCGTACATGCTTGATGATTGTTGAAGATGTTTTGGCTATTTCTTCTTTGTCCTCCAAGACCCGCCTGAAGCATTATGATGTTCCAACCTACTTCAGCCTTGATCACCAGAAAGAATGTCGGGCACCAAGAGATTATTGAAACTGGATGGTTTCCACGTGCCGGGCCCTAGGAGGCGATACTCGTTCGACACCGTTTCGCTATTGTTCGGGGTGTTCGAAGCTATTTTTGGAATGTTGTCCTTAAGTACGATGGGGGCAACATAGCTGTAGGAGAACAGGGGTGGACCTAAACGGTGTTGTTGGCGATTTCGTGGGCCGTTTTCGTTTCGATTTCGTCTTGCGGGAAAGACGGATTGAAGACAAAACGAGGAAAAACGCAAACCAAACGAAAACGAAAAGCGCCGCTTAGGTTCAGCCCTGTAGTCAAGGGCAGAAAAAAACGCCCCGACCCTGGTTTACGAGGCGCTGTGCGCTGAAACTCTTGTGGGCTGACAGGGTAAACCCTGCGTGATGTGCCGCGTCCTGGCGGCTCTAGGCTTTGGGGGTTCCCAGGAGGTTTACAGACCACGCACTTGTAACCCAGGGAAAGGCGGATTGAAAACAAGACGAGGGAAAACGAAAACAACACGAAAACGAAAAGCACCGCTTGGGAAAACGAGGGAAAACGAAAACGAAAACAAAAACGAGGGAAAACGGAAGCAAAACGAAAACGAGGGAAAAAACGAGAACGAAAACAAAACGAAAACGAACACGCAAACAACGCTCTGCAGGAGAGCCTGCCCGACCCAAATGCAGGCCTCTCGCGGGGGGGGGGTGCGCGAAGCGAGTCGCGCTTCCGCGCGTCGCGGCCCGGGCGGGAAGAGCCCGCCGCCCTGTCGGGGAGGGGGGGGGGGCGCCCGAGCGGGCGCAGAGAGAAAAGCGCACCGCTGGGCGCGACGCCGCGCGACGTCGGGCGGCCTGACCAGGCTGCCGTCGAGTTTGCCGTGTTGCCTCTCTCTCTCTCTTCCGCTCTCTCTCTCTCTCTCTCTTTCTCTCTTTCTCTCCTTCTCTTTCTCTCTCTCTCTCTCTCTCTCTCTCTTTCTCTCTCTCTCTCTCTCTTTCTCCCTTTCTCTCTTTTTCTCTCTCTCTCTCTCTCTCTCGCGCTCTCGCTCTGCGGGGGTGGGCAGAGCCCCCACCCTGACCCGTCGACTGGTGGATCGTCTGTCTTCGGTTCTCGAGAGGGCGACGCGGCCGTCATGTGCGAGGCTTGCGCCCGCCAGGTTCGGGCCCGAGGCCGTTCTCACTGAACCGCGTTCTGCCACAGGGGGTTCTGCCCATCCGCTGATCTCTCTCTCCGAGGAAGACATCTGTCGCGTCGGGCGCGGATGGGGCTGGGAGAGGAGTGCGGATCTCACGACCCTGGGGCTGGGAGAGGAGTGCGGATCTCACGACCCTGCTACAGGGGGTTCTGCCCATCCGCTGATCTCTCTCTCTCCGAGGAAGACAGCTGTCGCGTCGGGCGCGGATGGGGCTGGGAGAGGAGTGCGGACCTCACGACCCTGGGGCGGCCGAAGGTATACCGTTCACCGCGTCTGGATGCTGTGGCTCCTACAGCGAGCGGCTGGAATAAGGAGCACTTCCTTTTCAAAAGGGGCTCGGTCGTTCCTTAGATCTTACATGCGCTACTTACAGGTCTCTACGCGTTATCTATTATGTATCGCTCCTTATGCGTTCTTCCTCGGGATAAAATAAGGGGGTTCGTTCCTGATGTGTCGTTCCTCAGGTCAGGCCGATGACTGTACCCTTCCTCCTCCCAGCCCCTCCCTCCCCACGCGGCTCCTGCTCTCCTCGCTCTCTCTCCCTCTCTCTCTCCGGCGACGCCGCCCCGGGGGACGGGCGGTGCCGCGGGCGCCGCGGGCTCTCTCGAGGCCCACCCCGCCCGGGGCGCGGTGAGCGCGCCGTCGGGGGTCAGGGGAGAGGACGCGCCCGTCGTCGAGGGCGGGCACTCCTGGGGCCTCCCGGGGGCCCCTTGGGCCACCCGAGGCGCCCGCCTGCCTCGAGAGCCGCGAGTCGGCGGTCCCGCCCCGCGCCCCTCTGAGGGGGGAGGGGGAGGGGGAGGGGGAGGGGGGAGGAGGAGGAGGAGGAGGAGGAGGAGGAGGAGGAGGAGGAGGAGGAGGAGGAGGAGGAGGAGGAGGAGGAGGAGGAGGAGGAGGAGGAGGAGGAGGGGGAGGAGCTCTCTTCCTGCCCTCCGCAGGGGGCGAGCGGCTTGCCCGGTCTGCTTCTCCCGCGCCCTCCTGCGGCCTGCGGCTGCCCCCGCCTCTCCGGACCCTTGCGGGTGCGCACAGCGCCCTCTCGCCTCTGCCCGGGGGGGCCTCCGCGGGGCCTTGCCGCTGTGGCTCGAGGCCGCCGCCGCGAGGCCGGGCCCGCGGGGAGCGGAGCGCGCGAGCGATGGGGCTCCCGTCGCTCCTCGCGCTCCTGGCCGGCGCCCTCCGGGCGGCCGCGGAGGACGCGGTGCTCTGCCGGAACGGCTCCGACTCCAGCCTGGCGTCCTTCGCCTTCGGCACAGGTCGCCATCGCCGCTGGGAAAGCCACGGCGTGCGGCATGCCCTTTGTGGGAGATGTCGGGGCGGGGGCCTCTGGGCGCCCAGAGGCGGCCCTGCGGGGCCAGGCCGGGTCGGGGGTTGCCAAAGGTGGCCCTGGCTCAAGTTGCCCCCAGATTTTCGCTCCGTTTTGGAGCCCCTCGGGCCCCCTGGGCCTCGTGAGGGGTGCTCTGGAGGCCCTGGGGGCCTCTTTGGGAATCCTGGGGGCACCTTGGGCCAGAGGCACTTCTAGCAACACCCGACCTGGAAGGGGTCGGGAGCTCCAGGAACCTTCTGTTGAAGAAATCGCAGCAATGGAGCGGAGATCTTCCAGGGGGTCCTGAGGGCAAGGGGTCCCCAGGTTCCTCGCAGGCGTCCAGCCTCCTGGGGCCTCTGCTGGGCCCAGGGCCCATCGAGAGAAGATTCAGGACGAGAAGCCAGTCCCTGGGGAAAGCCACGGGGTCCAGGACCCGTTTCCGTCAGGATTCAGTTGGCCCATGGAAAACACGGGCAGGAGCCAGTTCGATTGTGTCGACTAGATGCGATGTCGACTCGATTCCGAATTACGGCTTCGGTTTGGATCTCCTTGCGCAGGCCTCGTCTCGGGCCGCAGGACGTCGGTTTCGATGCCTTCCGGTCGGCCTGCCGATTCGGTGTCATTCTATAGCTGATACGAGTTCCCAGTCCGTTTTTTAGTTACCCTGCAGGGGTGGACAAGTGGGGTCCAGGGTGGCCTCAGCAGCTGAAGAAGTCGCGCCTCGTCGAAGGAGACACGAGCGTGCTGTGGGTGACGGAGCTCGATGACGGAGGCGGTTCCCCTCCTCGTTGTTATGCCTCGTCTGCCGCCTGCTTCCGTCCCTGCGTTTGCTTGGTGTGTATGTGTGTGTTGTGCGTGCTGTGTGCTGTGCGTATGTGTGTTTGCGTTGTGTGAGTTGTGTGTTGTGTGTTATGTGTTATGTGTGTGCCATGTTTGTGGTGTTTGTTGTGTGCTGTGTACTTTTTGTGTGTTGTGTGTGCATGTGCCTGTATGTTGTGTGTGTGTGTTCGTGTGTGTGTTGTGTGTTGTGTGTTGTGTGTGTGCGTGTGCGTGTGCGGGTCTATCTGTGTGTGCGTGTGTGTATTCGTATGTGTGTGTTAGTGTGTGTGTGGTCGTGTCTGTGTCTGCGTGTGTGTGTGTGTGCGTTCGTGTGTGTTGTGTGCGTATTATTGCTGGTTCGATGGCTCAGTGACAATTGGCACCAGACTGCTCGCGCTTCAGTTTACCTTGAGTCGAGCTCGCTCGGACATGCTGCTCGATTTTCTGGCCGCTGCACGCTCGCTGGTTACAGTCCGTCCCACCCACAATCCATCCCTGCAAGTCAGTGCTCTTGGTTCTTCTCAAAAACGCCCTGGGCGTGTTTTTACCGTTTCACATTTGCGGCTCTTGACAAGCCAAAAAGCTACAAAAAAAGCGCGACGATGTCTAGCGTTTTTAGCTTCGTGTTTAAGCGTTTTTAGGCATGTCGCTGTGGATCCTATTTTTTTTAGCGTTTCTTGCTTTCTGATCGAAGGCTGTTCCTCGTCGTCCCTGCTGTCTTCGCTCCCGCTCGTTTCTGCCGCCGTTCTCCGTCCCAGAGCTAAAAGCGTTAAAATCGCTCGGACACCGGTCGAACACCGGCCCGAAACAGGCCCAGAGGCACGATGGCCCCAAGGGGGGCAGTCGGCCATTGGTCCCGCCAGATTGCACGCCAGGAGAAGGACTGCACGCCAGGAGAAGGAACTGAGAGAGTCGTAGCTGAAACACAAAAACTGATTTGAAAACGCCTAGAAAAACGTGGCTGCAAACGGAAAAATGATCGTTATTCGTTTTCGTTTTCAGCTCTTTGTTTGGGACCTCAAAACGCTGAAGAAAAATGGTTTCCAACACGCCTGGCATATTTACGAAGACCCAAGTCAGTGATTGACGTTTCTCTCGCTGCGTTTTCGATTATGCTCGATCGCAATTGGCAGTTCCATCTGCTGCCCGCGCCTGAGGACCCTCTGCGCCGCTGGCCTTAAAAGTGTTATGTGTGTGTGTTTATGTGTTGTGTGTTGTGTGGGTCGTGTGTGTTGTGTGTTGTGTGTGCGCTTGTGTGTTGTATGTGTGTGTTTTGTGTGAGTTGTGTGTGTGAGTTGTGTGTTGTGTGTACGTGTGTCTGTGTGTTGTGCGAGTTGTGTTGTGTGTTGTGTGTGCGTGTGCATGTGTGTGTTGTGTATGTTGTGTGTGCTGTGTGTGTGTTGTGTGTGCGTGTGCGGGTGTGTTGGTGTGTGTGTGTGCGTGCGTGCGTGTGTGTGTGTGTGTGTTCGTTCATGTGTGTGTGTGTTTGTTCGTGTGGGTGTTCGTGTGTGTGTGTGTGTGGGCGTGTATGTGTGCGTTCGTGTGTGTTGTGTGTTTTCCATGTGTGTATATGTTCGTTTGTTTGTTCGCGTGCGTATGTTGTGCTTGGTTTGTTGTGTGTTGTGCGTTGTGCGCGTTGTGTGCGTGTACGTGTGTTGTGTGTGATGTGTGCCGTGTGATGTGTGATGTGTGATGTGTGATGCGGGTGTGTGTGTGTGTTTGTGTGCCTGTGTGGGTGTGTGGGCGTGTGCGTGCGTGCTCGTGTGCACGTGTGCGTACCCGTGTGTCCGCACACCGTCTCAAGCCAGGCCGCATTCCAAGGCAAGCAACGCAGGCGGCGATGGATCAGGGGGCTGCACGTGGGTGAGGCACGGTCCGCTGTGCAGCCACCCAGCGCCGCACGCTGCTCTAGATTCTCACCCTGCCGCCAGGACCGGCCCCTCCCCTGCACTGGTGGACCCAGCCTCTGCCACACACGCGCGTCGCATCACAACCACGGCACCGCAAGCCCAGCGCTGGACGCGGCCCGTGCCGCGTGCGCGCCGTCTCGGCGAGGAAGGGCGTCAGTCAGTTCAGGGCGGCGCGATGGGGCGGCACCTGCACCACGCAGCTCCACACGAGGCTCGCGGTGGCATGCGGGAGCGCGGATGAGTGAGAGAGCAGGTTGTTGTTCACTCATCGCAAGTGTGTGGTGTGTCCGTGCGAGGGGGGGGAGGGGGCGGGGAGGAGGAGGAGGAGGAGGAGGAGGAGAGCGCCCAAGGAGGGGGCGCTTCGCCGCACAGCACGGGGCCGAAAACATTCAGGACGGTCTCATCGACCACGGACTCCCTCAGGGGCGGCCTCCAGACGGGCAGCGCTGACCCGCCTGGGTGCGAGACCACACAACGCTGGGCCAACAGGTGGTCGCAGACGCCGCAGAATTCGGACAGTGACCGCGACTCCCGTGAATCACACCATGGCGGCGAGCGGGAGAGGATGGGAGAAGGAAGGAGGAGGAGGAAGAAGAAAGCGCCATGCGAGGGGGCGCTTCGCCGCACAGCACGGGGCCGAAGACGCTCAGGACGGCCTCGCGGCCTCTAGAAAGGCAGCGCCGACCCACCCAGAGGCGAGACCCACCTGGACCGCACCATGTTATGCGGACAGGGGTCGCGACTCCTGGGAGCCACACCATGGCGGCGAGCGGGAGAGGAGGGGAGGAGGAAGGAGGAGGAAAGGACAAGCATGTGCCGCGGTATCCGTCGACCAAAGCCGCAACGGCGATCCAGAAGGGAACGGCTGCACTGGCACTGCGCACCGCAGCGCATCACGGCGCAGTGAAAAGCTGTGCGTGCGCGTGCGCGCGAGGCCGTACAGCACCGATTAGCACAGCACGACACGTCAAAATTCACAGCATATCACGTCACAGCAACAAGTTGGTTTTCATATGTGCGTGCGTGTGTGTGTGTGTGTCTGTGTGTCTGTGTGTCTGTGTGTCTGTGTGTCTGTGCTTGTGTGGTTGTGCGTTTGTGTGTTTGCGTGGTTGTGTGTTCGTGTGTTTGTACGTTTGTGCGTGTGTGTGTGTTTATGTGTGTGTTGGTGTTGGTGTTGGTGTTTTTGTTTGTGATTGTCTGTGTATGTATGTGTGACTGTGTCGTTGTCTTTGTCTGTGCCGTTGTCTTTGTGTCGTTGTGTCCTTGTGTGTGTCGGTGTGTTTGTATGTGTGCTTGTCGTCGTGTTTGTCTTTGCGCTTGCCTTTGTGTTTGTCTTTGTGCTCGTGTGTTTGTGTGTGCTTGTGTGTGCTTGTGTGTGTGTTTGTGCTCGCTTGTGTGCTTGTGTGTTTGTGTGTTTGTGTGTTCGTTCGTTCCCCCGCTGTAAACGAGAACACCGTATCCGCACACCAACTCGAGTCAGCCGCGCGCCAGGCAAGCAATGCCGGCGGCGGTGGCCGAGGGGGCGGTACGTGTGTGCGGCGGGCACCCTGAATTCCGACGTTCCCGAAAACTTGCAGCAGTCGAAGTCGGGCGTCGAGCAATGGAGGTGCGACGAATCGCCCCCTACAGGGACCCTGAAGGCGCCCCCATGGGGCACGAAAGTGCACGCTTCTCCCCCCCGCCATTTATCGCACACCGCTGCTTCACGCCCGACAGAAGCTCGACCAGAGACCCGGGCCGAATATATCTCCGTGGCATTTTCGGGGTCAGGAGCAAGGAGACATTGTCCGTCAGGGTCCGGCGCCAGGACCCGTTTCGACCCAGGTCGAGGTGGGTTGACATCACGTCCTCTCTTGCAGTGCAGCAGTGCGCTGCGAGGAGACGCGTGCAGCTCCGCCTCCGCCGCGCGCCCCGCTCCGGGACGGCCTCCGGGCCGGCCCGCGCGAGAGAGAGAGAGAGCGAGAGAGACCATGAGGCCAGAGCCAGAGTTTGGGCGGCTTCGGGGTCGGGCTCCGGCTGAAGGTCTCCAGGTGTGTGCAAGGTTTGGGGGGGGATTCACTAACTCAAAACAGACGCCCAATCCCAAAAACGCGGGGGCCAAGACAAAACGCAGACACCTCGAGACTTCGGGGACGGAGATTTTGGGGTAGGGTTTTACCAGGGCGACGACGACGAACGCAAAACATACCCCGAAATCTTTGGCCGATATTCGAATCCTCGGTGAATCCGCGATTTTGGGATTGGGGATGTGTTTTTCCGTGGTCATGGATTGTGAAGGTCCCCACGGCCAGGTTGCGTCGGCGCGGCGGTCGCCGCGCGTGCGGCGGGGGCCGCGGAGAGATGCCCGCGGCCACGCCTCCGCCGCAGCGCGGAGGTGACCGCTGGTATCCCCTGGGATTCGGGCGTGGCACGTGCCCAGGACGGCAGCGCCTGGGAGCGCCTGGGAGCGCCTGGGAGCGCTTGGCAGCGGAGAAGGCTGCCAACATCGCCCCCGGATGCCCCAAGAGGCCCCCACGAGAGCGCCAAGGGGACCCCGAAGGGCGCCACGACGCCCCCAAGACGCCCCCAAGGCGGCCGCAGGGGCCTCTGCGACGGCTTCGAGCTGCGTCCCCCACGTGGCCCCAAAAGTCCCCCAGGTGTTCCAGAGGAGCCCCTCAGAGGACCTGTAGGCGCCCCTAACGAGGCGGCCCTCAGAGGACCTAAGACGCCCCCAACAGGCTCCCAGGAAACTCCAACAGGCCCGCCCGCCCCCGCTTCTACGTGCTCCGGAAACGTCTCTCCCGGAGCAGGTCCCCAGGTCAGCCTCAGAGGGCTTCCACCATCGCTCCCAGATGCCCCCAAGAGGCCTCCAAGATAGCGCCAAGCGCCAAGGGGGCCCAGAAGGGCGCCACGACGCCCCAAGACGCCCACAAGGCGGCCTCAGTGACTTTCACGACGGCTTCGAGCTATGCGCCCCCAAATGGCCCCGAAAATCTCCAAAATATCCCAGAGGCGCCCGTCAGAGACCTTAGAAGCCCCACACGATTTTGCCTTCAGAGGACCTGAGACGCCCCCAACAGGCTCCTGGGAGACTCCAAAGGGCCCGCCAGCCACTTCCTCTACGTGCTCCGGAAACGCTTCTCCAGAGCACGTAGAATTTCCTCTGCACCACGACCCGAATGTCCTTGCACAGGACGTCTTCGGTCCGACCCCCCCTTGGGGTGTTCTCAATTTGAACGTGCTCTGGACACGTTCCTCTGGAGTTCGTCGAATTTCTTTAGCATCCGCTTCAATTCAGTCATCTTTTATCACGGGTCCGCCGCCCAAGGGAAGCCCCCGCCGACTTCCATGACAGCCTCGAAGACACCAAGGAACGTTCCAAGATTACCACATGGCTCCCAGCTTGTCCAAAGCTGCCGGGATGGACCCACAGAGAGGTCCAGGGATCTAGTTTGAGCAAACCTTGTTGGCCGTCGTCGCACGTCGTCACCGTCGATCGATCTGGGATGCAGGTTTCAGGCCACACTTGGCGGGTGCCTGTCGGAATCTCTTTTTATGTCCTGTAGACCTCTCTTCGAAGCTTTTTGAGTCATCGGGGGAGGCTCGTGGCGGTCCAGGGCCTTCCTGGGACGTTTCGGTGCCTCCAGAAGAAGCTTCTTTGGGCAACTTAGGTCTCGCGTGGGTTTCCTTCTGGGGCCCTGATGGTGGCGTCTTCCCGCTCTCTTCGGCCATTATTTGAAGCATTGGTTCGCCCGGTCTTGTTCGGCCAGCTCAGTTGGGTCGGCGCTGTTCGCAGAACGCCCCCTCATCACGTTCCGTCGGCCAGCCCAGTTCGCCTGAGCGTGTTGCGCACTCTATTCTCCATTTGCGCTCTATACCACGGCATCGCGAAACAGAGCCATTCTGCGCAACCCTCACCACGGCGAGAAAGCGGGTCTGTCCGCCCACTGCGGCTCCTGGTGCAGATGACCTTGCTCGGTCACACTCGTTGTTATATTTGTTGTTGCTTCTTCAAGAGCGATCCCAGGCTCCACTCCGTGCGTCGCCACTGGCTAGGACCTCAACTAGAAGAGAAGCGCGCGCGATGGTTCAAGTGTATCTATGTATGTACAGATGTATATATATATATATATATATATGTATATGTAAAGATAGAAATATATATACATACATGCTACAGCCGAGCATCTGATTATGAAACCTCCTCCCAGCAAGTTGGGCCAGCGTGTATTAACCAATTTGCCCGAAAGTTGGCCCAGTTTCTTGAGCACGTTCGCCTCTCCGGCGTTTAGAACGTGGAAGTTTGCCCAGGCTTGTTTGTTGGAAAATGTCAGGGAAGTTGGCTTAGGCTTATTACATGATGATATTCTTAATCATGATTTCGGCCTTAACGATCCCAGGTTCCGCTCCGTGCGCTGCCACTGGTTAGGACCTCGACTAGAAGAGAAGCGCGCGCGCGAAGCGCGCGCGATGGTTTTAGTATATATAATCCTATATATATATATATACATACATACATACATACATACATACATACATGCATACATACAGACAGACATCGATGGATACATGCATGCATCCATACGTATATACAGGGACACATACATACATGCATGCATACATACATGCATGCATACATGCATGCATACATGCATACATACATACATGCATACACACATACATATATAGATATATACATACATATATACATGCATACATACATACATACATACATATATATACATACATACATACATACATACATACATACATACATACATACATACATACATACATACATACATGCTTGCATGCATACATACACACGTATGTACATACATACATACATACATACATACACAGATACAGACATACACATCTGCATACATTCATACAGACATAGATACATGGAGATACACATCTGCTAGAATACCAACAAAAAAAGCATGGCGGAGGCCTCGCGCTCTCCACGGACGCCGGGCTGCAGCTCTGGCGGCCGGGCCGCCGCGCGCAGGACACGGCGCGGGACGGCGCGGGAAAACCGGAACGCCCGCGGACGCTCTGCGCGGGCAGCCTTCGGAGGTTTTTTCGGGGGGGGGGGAGGAGAGTGAGAGAGACAGAGAGGGGAGGAGGAGGAGGAGGAGGAGGAGGAGGAGGAGGAGGAAGAGGAGGAAGAGGAGGAGGAAAAAGAGAAGCGGCAGCGTGCGGAGCACTCGCATGCCATCAGGGGACAAGAAACAGGAAGAGGAGGAGGACAAGAAAAAACAAGACAAGACAAGACGAGACGAGACGAGACGAGACGAGACGAGACGACCCAGGACAGGACAGGACAGGACAAGACTGGACAAGTCAAGACAAGACAAGACACCTCACGACAAGACAAGACAAGAACCGATACGAGCCAGAGTTCCTCGGGTCAGACTGGGGAAGATAACTGGCTCTCGGCTGCGTATGGATACGGTTACCAGCGGCTACCGCTGGAAGGACAGACTTCTTTGGCCGACAGCGGGACAGCTAAAAGGGGACGCCGAGCTGCCCGAGCACGGCACCATCTTTCCTGTAAGAGAGGGGCGGGAGGAAGCAGAGATTGCTTAAGGCCTTGAGCGATGGGAAGCAGAGCCGAGCAGGAGGAAGGAGAGAAAGGAGACGTGAGCCAGGTCGAAGATCCAACTCTGTGCAATTACGTTGCCGGCATTGGCTGTTATTCAAGACATTTCGCGTTCGCCGCCCGCCTATTCCAGTTCTCGCCGGAAGAGTCGCAGACCGCGCCAAGATTGGGCGACTATATTCCGAAAATGATGAGAGATTCCCCCACGTGTGTGTTTTGTGTTTTTCCCTGCGCTCGATTTCTCCTCCGTCCCATCACAGATCGGGCTCAGGCGTGCCGTGTGGCTGGTCGATGTTGAATTCGTCGACTGGCCGTCGGCCCGTCATCATCACCAACGGATCAGCGGCATGGACGCTGGTTCTGGAACTCGCCATCCTTACCCACAGCAGGAGGCCACAGATCGCCGGAACACTGCCCGAGGCCAGCTAGAGACGGCCAGAGGGCGGCACGGAGGAGACGCCCACGAGGGCCGAAGAGGGCGCCGAGAAGAGGGGCCCAGAGGGAGGCCAAGAAGGGCACGAGGCGGCCCACGGGGAGCCTCTGGACGGCCCGCGCGAGGGCACCTCCGCGTTGGGCCGCCACCCCGTCCGAATGCCACCCAAAGCCGGGCCATGCAGGGGTCGGCTTGGCTCTACTTGGGGGTCCAAGTTGGGCCCAGCATCATCCACACGTGACCCCAGAGCGCGCCCAAAAACGCAGTGGCAGTTCGCATTCTGCGAAATATCCCGGACGAGCCTGCAGCGTAGGTGTCAAAGGCGTCCGCGCGAGCCCCAGCGAGGCCAAGATCACCAAAAATTGATGGCTTTTTTATGTGTTGAAGTTTTGAGTTTGCATGCGAATTTGGGCCTACGAGGCGCTCTTGAGGACCCCAGGAGCGATTTCTGGCAGCCAACGAGTGGCCCGAAAAGGTGCGGAAATGGAGACAAAGTGCCCCCGACAGGGCGCCTTGGGAGCGGTATGAAAGTCGAACTCGTCTTGGACGCGGTCTGGAAGGCCTCTTGGGGCCCGGAAAAGGGTACTCCAGATTTCGTAATAAAGGGAGGGGGGTCTCATTTCGGGGGGGGGGGGGTCTTTTTCAAGCTATCTTGGAGGGCCTGGGGGGGTCTGGGGACGATGTTTTGGAGGGTTCTCCCAGGGGGGGGGGGCTAAAACTTCTTGTCTGGGAGGGTTGAGACCCCCTCCCTTTTATTACGAAATCTGGAGTATTGACACAGTTGGGCGGCAGGATGGCAAAGGCCTTGAGGGGGGAAACAGGGGGGGCTAAAGCCTTGCAAGGAGCTTTCATTATTTAGTCTCACACGCCCCTCAGCCCGGTGGGCGGGCGGATCCAGGAGGCTTGCGCCACTCCGCCGACCACGAGAGGAGGGAAGAAGTCCACAGGTGAGGCTTTCTGGGGCATCTTGGGGACCCTCTTGGGGACCTCTTGAGGGCCTCTTCGGGCCTGTTGGGAATTTCTTGGACGCTTGGTGGCGGTCTCGGGGGTCCTCTTGGGGCGGATGGTTCGGAATGTCAGTTCGAGTTATACTTCTCTTGGGCCCATGTGGGGGCCCTGTTGAGGCCCTCTGGCTCATGGGCCGTCTTTGGACCCGTTTCGGCCGTCTTAGGGGCTTCGTAAATCCTCTTGGTGCGATGTCGGAAGCCTCTTGAGCCGTCTTGGATTATAGTAAGACCAAACATCCGAACATGCTAAAGATTGGCTTCCCCCAAGGATTGGGACGGCGTGTGCATCCTAGGGCCCTCTTGGTGGTCGTCTCGGAGGCCTCTTGGGCAGTTATGATGCCCTCGTAGCTGTGTTTTTTGGGCCTCTTCGGCGTGCTGGAGCTCAGCTTGAGCCAGATCAGATGCCATCTTGGGCATGTTGGAGGCCGCGGGGTGGTGGGCCTGCGGTCCTCGAGAGCCCCGGGGGGGGGGCGCTGACGAGCTCCGCCCTCCACCCCCCTGCGAAGGGGATGGTGGACCCCAGGGGACGGGGGGGAGGGGGAGGAAGGGGGGAGGAGGAGGTAGGACGAGGAGGAGGAGGTAGGAGGAGGAGGAGGAGGAGGAGGAGGAGGCGGAGGAGGAGGAGGAGGAGGATTCCAAATCGATGCCCCCCCCCCCTGAGTCAGTCCCCCCCCCTGCCGCTGCCCTTCGGGGGGGGCAGCCTCCCCCCCCTTCGAATGGGGGAGGGGGACAGCCAACCATCTCTCACGCATGTTCACCCCCGGCAAGCGGGGATCGGCGCACCACGTTGGCAACAGTTGTGAAAACAGGCAGTGCTGCCGCAGCCTCACTCGGACGGTCAGACGGATCAATGTTGAAACAAGCAGTCGGTGTGGAGGACCTTGTTTTTCGAAAACGGCATCCCCACGGACTCGCAAATTTGGCCGAAAGATGGGTTCATAATGCTCACAGATGGGAGCGGGGTGGAGAAAGCAACTGGATGCCCTCTAAGTCGGTTGCAGTGGAATCGTTTCAACATTCACCTCTACTCGCTGCGCTTGCGAGCGTCTCTCCTGTAGGTCAGACATCGAAATTACAATGTCAGAAGTTGTCTCACCGTTATGATGGAACACGGGGCTGCGATGCTGATTCGAGTACTGGAGGATGGGGTGAGGGAAACGCTGCTGAAAACTGAAGAACGCGGGGCGTCTCAGGCGGCCCTCACGGATCATCTCAGCCGTTCACGGCCGCCAAGCGAAGTGGCAGAAGGTTCAGAATTCGTCGTCCGAGACGGTCACCGCCTCGGCATGCGCGCCACGTGGCGTTCCGCCCACGCAGTATTCGCTGACCTGGTGCTCCGCCGCCCTGTAGGTCGATTGGTGGAGTGGCAGGATCTTCTGCGATTTCGTTGGGTCGACCATGGAGTTGACCTGGCTGCTGGGGCTCATCATGAACTGGAGCTTGTAGCGAGTCGGCTTCTGGCCCTTCTTGCGGTCGTACCAGCACACGCGGATCCTCAAGTAGCGGATCCGCTCCAGGAGGTGCACCATCGCCTTTGCCTTGGGCATGTTCACCATCGTCTGCCAGCAGAGGTTGATCACCTTCAGCGCGTCGCGGTCCATCGTCGTCTGCGTCACGAAATGCTGGGGGAGAGCCAGGAACGCGTGCGGCCACGGCGAGTCATTGCCGTGGTCCTTCCCCTTGAACTGGCAGTCTTGCGCATCTGCTCGGCCTGCTGCCCGCATCACTGCGACCGGCGCGGCGCCGACAGGGATTGAAGAGAGCACGTGCAGCAGGCGCTTTCGTTAGATCGGCCAACTTCTCTGGCGCTCGTCAAGGCTGGCTTCCCGGGATGCCCACGAGGGCCTGGAAGTTGCTGAGCTGCCTGATGTCGTTCCCCTGCTTGACGGCTTTGAGGAGCTTGCCCGGCTTGGTGTCTCCTGTCTTTGCCTGCTCGTCTTGCTGCCTGCGCTTCCCCGCGCCGAGTATCGTCCAAGCCGGTGCCCCCACTGCCATCACGTGTTGCTGGCTTGGTGGTGTCCCCATTGCCGCCCTTGCTGTTGCCTCGGGCATCGAGCTCGGGAAGAACGTGAACGTGACTACGTGGATGTGCTCGAAGGCGAACAGGATCAGACATTCAAGCCGCACACAACGGACAGTGAATGTGTGCAGCCTTGTCCCCCAGAGTCCTGCAAGGTCGTACTTCGATGCGGGACACAAGCGCCCGTCTCCAGCGAATCCACCAGATGTTTGCAGGTCGAGTTGCGGCACTCGAACACACTGTCACAAACAAAGCATACATTATTGGTGACCGCCAATCCCGAGACATAATCAAACTTCTAGTGATTATGTAGATGTACCAGTTGCTGTCGTGCAGCAGTATCAAGCCGTCGCACGCATCCTGGGACAGGGCAAAGCCGAGCTGTTTCAGGGCCTTCAGGGACAGGCGGATCTGCTTGGTCAGAGGGAGGGTGAAAGTCAGGTGGGGGAATGGCAACTCTGAGCCAGTGGGGCCGAAGCTTCTTGGCATCAAATCCCGAAAGCCAGTCAACCAGGGCCTGGCCCTGAAAGAGCTGAAGGGGTCTTTCGTTGAAATCAGCCACGTCCTCTTATTCCTCGTCTCCGAGAGTAGCCAAGGAATTGGTATTATCAATTGTTGACGCTTCGCGTATCCCCACCAGCCCATCCAGAAACGATGCTCAGGGGAGTTGAGGTGATCAGGGAAGTCGGGGAGCATGCAGAATAACAAAGGGCGGGGGAAGCTGTCACAGACCCCGAGAGGGGGAGGATGGAAGAGGAGTCGTCGTCGTCGTCGTCGTCGTCGGAGGAGGAGGAGGAGGAGGAGGGGGAAGAGGAGGAGGAGGAGGAGGAGGAGGAGGACGGAGAAGGAGGAAGAATCGGAGGAGGAGGAGGAGGAGGGGAAGGAGCTTCTTGGGGGTCTTTTGAGGGCCTCTTGGAGGGCTTTTTGGGCGCCTTGGGGCATCTTGGGCGCCTCTTGGGACCCTCTTGAGGCGCTCTGGGGAGCCTTCGGGGCGCTTTTGGGGCCATCTTGGAGGGAGTCGATCAAACAAGAGGGGGGGTTTAATTAGCGTCCCCCCTCGGAAGCCCCTAAAATCGCCTCTTGGACCCCTCTTGGAACGCTCTTGGAGTGCTCTTGGGCGCTCTTGGGGCCGTCTTGGGGCTCTTTTGGGGCTCTCTTGGGGCCCTCTTGGGCCATCTTGGAGCCATCTCCAGGCCTCGGATGGCCATCGGAAGCGAAAAGGCGAGAAAGCAAAAATCATTGATTTTCCTTAGGTTTTGGGACGATTTTGGCCTCTTCGGGGCCTCCTTGGGGAGCTGTTTGGCCACTTGGAGTTATCTTGGGGCCGTCTTTGGGCTTCTTGGAACCATCTTAGGAGCCATCGTGAGCGATCTTGCGCTATCTTGAGCCATCTTGGAGCTCATCTTGGGTTCTCTGAGGCGCTCTTGGAGCCGTCTTGGGCCATCTTGGACGCTCTAACTACCCGCGGCCCCCCCCGTCCAGGTCCAGGGGAGGGGGTAGGGGGAGGGGTAAACCCCTCCCCAAGGGGGAAGAGGGAGGGGTGGAAGAGGATCTGCTCTAGACCACCTACGCCCAGAGGGCTGGTGGGATTACCCGTCGGGCCCAGGGACACGCACCCGCAGTCAATCGAGAATCCTCGCCTACCACTTGCAAACCTCGGTCAGACTCGATTTTCATAGTGCTAAAAAGCGCTGACCACTCAGATAAGTGATTATCTGGCTGTTGAACCCAACGGTGGCACCACTTAGCTCTAGATTCTGTGTCCAGGGGGGCTACCTTCCAGCATCGCAGGATCTCATTGCTGGTAGAGACTGTGTGACTTTCGACCTCCCTGGTGGCCTGTCCACGCAACGCCCTTCGTCCATACATGACGAACCGACTCCGGAGCTTACCTGCCTGAGCCGCCGAGGGCAAGAAGGCTTCCACCCCAGCGACGGCCACCCCGGGGACACGACTCGGAAAGACGGCACGTCGGGCACTCGACCCCGGTATGCCCGAAGCGGCCGGTGCTACGATGACCAACGCTCACTGCTTTCCGCCTCTCCTCCAGCCCCGCGTGAGAGGCCCCATGCCCTCTGGCCATGCCTCCTGGATGCTCGGCGCAATCATGCTCCGGGGGTGCCCGTCGCGATCGTCCGCCAGAGATTCGGGTCGAGGCCGCTCGGAGGAGGGGGGGACCCAGACATCCCCCGGCCGAGAAAGAAGCACGGCGGGCGGGCTGCTCCTCATGACCGGCACAAAGACGGATGGCCAGCTCGGGATGGAGAGAATGCGCCCCGGGATGTGCCCAGACCTCTCTGGTCCTTGACATCCGCCGGAGTGAGTTGTTCCATCCGCGGCCCCAGAGGTTCCCGGCCGCTTCCCAGGGCGCAGTTCTTCGTCGTGGGCCCATATGTTTGACTGCCCTGGGGCGCTCGAGCACGGCCCCCGAGGGCCGACAGCTGCGGGAAAAAAACACGGGCTGGCAAGCGTGCATCGTCGGAGATCTGGGAGGAGCCTCGCTGCGAAAACACAAAGCACCACGTCGGAGGCTGGCCAGGCGACCCGCAGGGCGCGTCGGAGCCGTGCCGAGCACGCGCGACTCGCCGAGGGCCTCGAAGAGCAGCCGGTGCGAGGCTCGGACAGGGTCCGCTGTCGAAACAGCCGTGCAGGCTGCGTCGCGGTGACCCTTCCACAAGGTGTCGACCGACAGTGGCATTGCAGCTCGGTCCGGATGGAGCGGCATGCCACCCTCTCGGGTAGGGTTTGCCAGTTCTTCTTCTCGCTCCTCTTTCTTCCACCCCTCCTCCTCCTCCTCCTCCTCCTCCTCCTCCTCCTCCTGCTCCTCCTCCTCCTCCTGGTCCTCCACCTTCTCCTCCTCCTCCTCCCCCTCCTCCTCCTCCTCCTCCTCCTCCTCCTCCTTCTCCTCCTCCTCCTCCTCCTCCTCCTCCTCTTCTCCTCCTCCTCCTCCTCATCCATTCCTCCATTCCTCCATTCCTCCTCCTCATGCTGCTCGCAGGCGCGTCTCTCGAATTCGAAAGCGGGGAGGCGGAGGAAGAGGAGGAGGAGGAGGAGGAGCAGGAGGAGAAGGAGCAGGAGGAGGAGGAGGCAGGAGGAGGAGGAGGAGGAGCAGCAGCAGCAGGAGGAGGAGGAGGAGGAGGAGGCCAAAAAAGAGGAATGTCTATCCTTCGGTTGGTGCAGCACGCGGCCGGCCGACGCCTGCACTGCGCGTCCCGTGGTCGGCCACCGTGCACGTGAGCATAGCTCCGTCAGCGCACGTGCGGGTCAATGTGGTTTGGCTGGCGCGCTCTCGGGTCAAGAGGAGAAAGCAAACAAGAAACTCGTTCTCGGTTGCGGTGAATTCGTGTCGTGCGCTGGGCGGTTTGAGAAACAAACAGTGGCATGAACATGCAAACTCGGAGGTCCGCGCGGATTGCTCGGATCGGCGCTGGAGGCGCCGCCAGGGCGCCCCGGTGCCGACCCGAGAAGCCCGCGCGGACCTCCGAGTTGTTCTGCTTGCGCCACTGTCTGTTTCCTCAGTTCTGCGGGGCGGAGCCTCGGGTGGGGCCCGAGCCTCTCGCAGGACACCAGCGGCCCCAAGCCCTGGCGAAGAGGGGGGAGCCCACCGGGCCCCACGTGGGGGAAGCCACAGGGTCGGGGCCCAGCGGCTCTGCACGAAGCCTTGGCATCGTTCGGTCGGCGAGGACCATCGACCATCGAGGAGCATCGCGGGCTCTTGGGGAAAAACACCAGAGGAAGAAAAAAAAAAAAAAACAAAAAAAAAAAAAAAAAAAAAAAAAAAAAAAAAAAAAAAAAAAAACGCGAAACCGAAAGCATGCACGGGGAAAGCACGCCCGAGCGACGGCAAGAAGCCCCCCTTGCCAGCGCGCCAGCGTGTCTGGCTCCTGGAGGACGTGTCCCTCGCGCCGCTCTCGACCCCGGTCGGGGCGATCTACTTCGAAGGCAAGATTTGGGTAGCCTGTTTCGGGTCGTGGCCCTACCCCTCGGACGACAGCGGCGTGGCCGTGGTCGATGCCGCGAGCGGGAAGCTGCTGGAGACCTACCCCTTCTCTGCCACCGGGGACGCCGACGACGCCGCGTCGCACGTGCACAACATCTACCTCTTCGATTGGGGCGGCCGCCGGGAGATCTTCATCGCCGTGCTGGGGAACCCGTGGGGGTCCCCCCCGGTCCCCGGGAAGGGGCTGGTCCTCTTCGATCGTGCCTCGGGCAACTTCTTGGAGGTGACCACAAGGAGGCGGAACGTGCGCTCGGCCGCGCAGAAGGCCCCGGGCGAGATCTTCGTGCTCACGCAGGAGACCGCGGACACCGACACGAGGCCCAAGTCGGGCCTGTCTCTCTACAGGAGGAATATTCAAAAATACTCCAAAAATAGTCTGGTGACGATTTTCTGACCATTTGCGACTATGCTTGGATATTTTTGTTCGTGTATGTTTCATTCTTCGTTCAAAATCCGCCTGTCCGACCTAACACGAGGCTTGCCCTGCTCCGGAAGAGCGGCGCCAAGCTGCACGTGGCAGTCGAGGCGTCGCTGCCCACACGCCACGCGGTCGCCGAAGACATCGGAGGCGGCGCGGACGTCGTCCTCGGCCGGGAGCCCGGCTCGGTGTGGTGCACGGACCGCAACGCCGAGGGGCGCCCTGGCAAGCTGTACTATTACAAGCTCGCGACAGCTGGTGGCGGCAACGTCACCGGGCTCGAGCTGGCTGGCCGGGGAGAATCGAAGAAGAAACATCGACATAGACATGAATTGTTGGCGCTCCGCGCGGATTTTGGGGATCTGCGCCGTAGCCCCCCCGACGGCGCCTCTGGCGCCGCCCCTGGCGCGAGCTCCGCGCGCCAGGGAGGGGAGACCAGCGCAGATCTCAGAGCTCCGCGCGGAGCGCCAAAAGTTTTGTGCTTATGGCGCTTTTGCTGCTCATTCGAAATTGTCTTCTTATTGTTGGTATTATTCATCTTTTATGATTTTCATTATAACTGTGATTACTCTTCTTATTAGTATGATTATTATTATTATTATTATTCGAATTTCTGTTAGCATTACCATCATTATCCTTATTCCTCTTCTGCAGAATCGGGTCGGACGAAGAGGGGCGGGGAAGGAAAGGGCGGAGTCCGAAGTCTGCGGCATGCCGCTGGTTTTTCAGCGCCGCCGCCGGGCGCGCCCCTCGATGCATATAGGCGCCATCCCTGCGCCTGGAAACGCAGGGAACGCGAGCTGCTGTTAAGTCAGGCCTGCCCCTCTACAGGAGGATTATCGAAAAATAGTCAAAAAATAGTCTCTGGACGATTTTTCTGTCATGTTTGCAGATGTTGGAGGTATTTCTCATTTGTCATCCAAAGTCCGCCTGTAGGGGGACATGCCCGACCTGAAGCTACCGGGGCTGACCAGCGAGCCTCCCTCTTTACCAGCCCCCGTGCCCATCCGACCCGAAAGAAATCCCTAGGCCTCCCTAGATGGGGTCGGAGTCAATGGGGTCGGAGGATCGCGCCGCATCGCCGATGCATCGCCGATAGGGCGCGATGCGGAGGCCGATTTCCTCCACGCCGACGTCGCCGAAGCACCGCCGACGTCGCCGATGCATCGCCGATACATCCCCAATACAGCGGCGATGTACTGGCGATGCCGCGCGATCCTTCGACCAGATCTACTCGGACCCCATGTAGGAGGCCTCTAAAACCGGAATCCCGCAAAGGGGGGGTGCCCCGAGGGGGGGGGCGTGTTCAATCGGTTCTTGCACCGAGCCGCCCTACACAGACGCACCCCAGCCGCAGGCAACTCCCGACAGTTGCCGATAGGTGGGGCATGCGGGGGGCATCTGTTTGCGTCGGCTCGGTTCACCAACGGATCGAGCTCGTGCCCCCCCTGAGGGCCAACCCCCTTTCAGAAGAGAAGAGCTCCCTTCCCCTCGGCAAGGGGGGCCCTCTTGCAGCTTGCGCAGGAGCCCAGGAGGCCCGGGTTGCCGCCCCCACGGGGCGTTGCGACAGGGACGCCCCATATTGGGTGTCCACCGACCAGGGGGATCGAGCAGGGTGGTGGCCCAGATATCGTCGAGCAGTGGCCAAGGCCATTTAAGCCTTGGGGGGGAGGCGGGGGGGATTCTGTGCTTCGAAGAGAGAAAAAATGGCATAGACCCAAACTTTGGGCACTCCGCGCGGAGCGCCAAGAGTTTGTGTGTATGCCGGTGTTTCTTCTTCTAGTGCCAGCCCCAGGTCGCCGCGTACGACACCGGCCCCCACCCGCGGTACTTCAGAATACTGGACGCACCCGGCAATGAGGGGGACATAGTGGTATGCAACTACGACATGGGGACGTTGTCGGTCTTCTCTGGATTGGCATTGCATCCGACTAAGACAGTGGTCGGCGCCAGCAACCGGCGCGATTCAAAACGCACACACACACACACATGCACGCGTAAGCGTCCACGGAGTCAATGAACCGTTCAATTGGTCTTTTCTCTATTGTCCAATGCGAGTGCAGGAGGTGCGACAGACGATTCAGTGAGATGGAAGCGTGGGCAGGCCCAACCGGTCGCAAGGGGCTCCTTCACTCCCCCCCGTCCCCGCCACGACAGGTGGAGCCGTCCGTGATCGCCACCGTGGACCACGTCGCGTTCTTCCTCCAGGGCCAGGACGTGCGAATCTGCCCCGCAGAGACGGAGGCCGCTGCGGGTGGCCAGGTGCCCCCCCTGTTTTTGTTACACCTCCTGCGCGAGGATCGAGGGTCCAGGTTTTTGGCCTCTCTGCGGCCCTCGGGGCCATCCAGGAGCTTCTGGGCCTCCAGACCTCTCAAGAGCACAGGTGCCGAGTTGGGAGGATGGGGCTGGGAGGGATGGCCAGATCATCCGTGCTATCGCGTGCTGAGTGTGCTCATTGCACCGTCGTGCCCCGTAGCTTCCCAACCCCATCCTCCCAACCCGATAATTGTCTCAACGTGGCCCGCACGTACGCGAGCATCGGAGAGGCTCCGCCTCCCGGCCGCTCCGACGAGCACAGTTTTCGCAGGAAGTCCCACTTGGGGGGGTACCGCCCCCGCCCCAGGAACCTACACTTGGAGGAATATTCAAAAATAGTCAAACACACACACACACACAAAAAAAAAACAAACGGGGACGATGTTTTGATTATTTTTGTCTACTTTTGAATATGTGTTGGGGTATGTTTGATTTTTCGTCCAAAATCAGCCTGTAGGGGGGATGCCCGACCTAAACCGACCCCTCCCTGGGCTAGGCCAAATATTCGGTCCGGGCCGACAGACAGGCCTTCGTATACGATGTTGGAGGCCAGCTCCCACACAACGTGGTCCGATCGTGACGAGCGCCCCTCGGCCGGATTTGTGATGTTGGCCGCAGTCCGCGTGTCCATGGCCGAGCGGTGTTGGCACGCGATTTTCTTGTGCTCACAGATCGCCGAGAGCCGCTGTCCAGCAAGGACCAGAGAGTGCAAGAGGACTGTCTGCTATGTTTGCTAAGAGAGCTGGCGCCACTGTAACGTGAACTAGCTTTTGTGCTGAGTGTGTTTTGCGGAAAAAGTACAACTGCTACGCGTTGAAGCAAGCTGAATGGGGGGCCGCTCAGCACTAAAGCGCGGCGTTCAAAAGACGGAACGCGTGGAAGAACAAATCAGGCGGCGGACGCAGGCGCTCCACGCAGCGGACCGCAGCGGAAGGGCCGCAGGTGATGAGGCCGAAGAAAGAAGGGCCAGCACAGGAAGTTGCTGAGAGACGGGACGCCGCACGGGCGTCCGTTGGTTGACCACGCCAGAGCTGTCCAGGCAGGTGCCGAAGAGGGTGCAGGCTGCCACGGCTGCGCGCCCAAGAAGCAGAAGAAAGGGCCCTCACGGCCGAAGAGGGGCGCGCAGGCCCGCGCGCTGGCCATGGCCGAAGCCCAGGAGAAGGACCAAGCCAGGGCCTGCTTCGGGCGTGAGATTCCCCAAGCAGTGCTTGCACCGAAGGGGTCCTAGCGGAAGTTGAAAGAGTTGGCGGAAGTTTCCCTCCGATTTTGGTAGCAGGTTTGGTTCCCGAGTTCCCGGTTCCGGGTTCCCGGGCTCCTGGTTCCGGGTTCCGGGCCGATTTCGGTGGGCGGCGGGGTTCCCAGGTTCCCGTTTTCTTGGTCGACATTATTATCGATCGGCCCCACCATCGATCTCATTACCCACTGCGTTGTCGATCTTATTATCGATCTCACAATCGATTTCACGATCGATCGCACAATCGATCTCACTACAGATTGCAGGAGCGATCTCCCGATCGATATCATTATCGATCTCAAATCGACTTCACTATCGGTCTCACGATCGACTGTACAATCGTCCTCAACATCGGTTCCACTATCGATCTCACAATCGATCTCAATATCCATGTTAGTGATATGGATCTTGAGATCGATTGTGATATTGGTTTCTCTCTGGTGTTTCATGACCATCCACTGATTGGGGTTTTTTTCTGGTGTAATTAGGATACAAAAATAAGAAATGCACGCTCGGCATGCGAATTTCAACGACCATGCTCGGTCGGAGCAAAGCGCGGTAGAAGCCCTAAGGACGAGGCTGGCGAGAGCCGAGAGCGGCGCGGTGGTTCCTCGGGGCACGGCTACCGGTATCATTGTTTTACAGCCAGGCTTTGTCACCGCTACCCTTGGTGGCGGGGCAGCCGCGGGCGTAGACGGCGGGAACCCGGTCGAGAGTTTCCCATGCAAGAAGCCACGGCGCGCCGACTGCGTGGAATGCTAGAATCCGCGCTGCAAGGATCACATCGACGTTCGAGTGTTGCCGTCGCCGCCCCGTCGCCGCCTCATCGCCGCCCATCGTCTGGGCCTGCTTGTCCATTTGGCGGCTATGTTGTCGCCGTCGCCGCCCCGTCGCCGCCTCGTCGCCGCCCGTCGTCTGGGTTTGATTGTCGGTTTGGCGGCTGTGTTGTCACCGTCGCCGCCTCGACGCGGCCTCGCACAGTTGCACCACATTGATTGCACAACATAAATTAAGCCACATAGATTCCGCCATATACATTGCACAACCTAAGTCAAAGCAGACATATTCTCTAGAAAGAATTCTGATCTACACCCCCAAACCTCCCCCCCCGGTCTCATCGGTTTCAACTGGGATCGTACAATTTACATTCGATTATGGCCCATCGTTGGTTTTAGATATGAACTCATACCACCCAGGGGGGATTTCTACCGACCCCTACCCTTATCACTCCTGACAAATAATACTATGCGCGCACACTCGTACATCAAAAACCCTCAGTTTCCAAAAACCTTTTGCAAAACATACGAAGTCGACGGGCGCGCGTGGTTGGGCGCGCATGCCGAAATCATTCAAAAACATTAGGTGTGGCAAGGATGTCAAGACCGAGCTCTCCGAGAACATGTAAAACGAACCCATGGTGTTACAACATGACGTTTTAAAGTGTTTGTGCGCGCTCTTTTGCGAATTCGTATGAAATCCATGGTTTTGTTCTACTGCTGTCATCAAATCATCAAATGCAACCAAACTGGCCTCTCGCAAACGCACGCCGAAATCATTCGAAAGCCCTTTGCGCGCGTGCTGGAGGGGGACACGATCCCAATCAAAGAAAGAGCGTGTTCTACCGCTGTTGGCGGAAAGCCGGGGGGGGTCACTACCGGTTCGAACCCCTCCCCCCCCCCCCTCCGGAAAACCGGGGGGGGGGTCACTACCGGTTCGAACCCCTCCCCCCCCCCCCCCCAGTTCATCATGAAAAGGGGGGGGGTCACTACCGGTTCGAACCCCCCCCCCCCCCCCTCGAAAACCGAGTGGGGGTGCGGACAGTGGTGGGGACGGTGTTGGTGGGGACAGTGGTGAGGGGACAGCGGGACAGTGGTGGGGACAGTGGGACAGTGGGGTGACGGTAGTGGTGGGGACAGTGGTGGGGACAATGGTGGGAACAGGGGGGACAGTGGACAGTGGTGGGGACGGTGGTGGTGGGGACAGTGGTGTGGGCACAGTGGGAATGAGGTGGAAACAGTGGGACAGTGGAGGGTACAATGGTGGTGGGGACAGTGGTGAAGGCGGTGGCGAGGACGGCGGTGGGACAATGGGACAGAGGTACAGTGGGGACAGTGGTGGGGACAGTGGGGACAGTGGTGGGAACAGTGGGACAGCTCAGGGGACAGCGAGGAGTCAGTGGGACAGTGGGGACAGTGGGGATAGTCGGGCAGTGGTTGGGGCCGTGGAGACAGTGGGGAGAGTGGAACCGTGGTGGGAACAGTGGTGGGGATAGTGGGGACAGTGCGACAGTGGTGGGGGCACTGGTGGGGACACAGTGGGGACAGTGGTGGTGAGGACAGTGGTGCTGGGAACAACAGTGGGGGATGTGATGCGGACGGTGGTAGGGACCGGGAGTCGTTTGCTGGCGGTGAGTGGGGGGGGTGGGGAGGGGTTCGAACCGGTAGTGATCCCCGTGACCCCCCCCGGTTTTCCGGATCCGGAGGGGGGGGGGGGGAGGGGTTCGAACCGGTAGTGACCCCCCCCGGTTTTCATGAGGGGAGGGGGGGGGGGGGGAGGGGGGTTTTGCCGGGGGAGAGGGGAGGGGTCCAGCAGGGAGGGGGGGGGGGTCGGAGGGGGGGGGGGGGGGGGGGCGACACCCGGGCTCCTGAGGAAAAGGGGTGGCAATTTCCCATTGTAAAGCGGCGGTGGATCACGCTCTCTCTCCAAAGAAAGAATACCATGCGGGACACTCGCGTTCGTCGGCCGCGCGCGCACGCCGAAATCTGTTTTAAGTGTTTGCTTCATCGACACGCAGAAACTAGCATCGTCACTGGTGTGATTAGCATCGACACCGTCATCGGCCTTGCCGTCGTCTTCTTCATACCGCCACCAGCATCGCTACTATCAGCATCGTGTCTGCCGTTGTCGAGGTCGCCGTGATACCGTGCCCGCCCGGGCTACCGATTTGCATTGAAGTGCCCGTGCGTCAGCGCGGCTTGCGAGACGCGCTAGGAGGTGCCCAGAGGTCAGCGCCACAGCGCCAAGCAGTCACCGCAATCGCCACCGCATGGGTTTTACAAGCCAAATTGCAGGTGGGTGGGTTGGATGATTGCGCGGGCGGTGTAGTGGACAACCTCTTGCGAACAAAAACGATTTGCTCCACATGACTTGTACCGCATATACGATTGCACCACATCGATCGCACCGCAAATATTCTCTTGTTTAAAAAAAATGATACTAGACTCTACCCCACCCCGTGATTATCGACCGCCCTTTGCGAATTGCAATTTACAGATGATTCTACCCCAGCGCCCATTCTAAAAATGATACCATACCATCCCAGCCCAGCAGGTGTCGGCCCCCAGGTCATATTATGTAAAAATGCGCGCGCACTCGCGTATCAAGAAAAATTCGTTGTCAAGAACCCTTCGCAACAAAAAAAAAAAAAAAAAAAAAACGAAGTGCACACGCGCGCGTCGTCGCGCACGCATGCCGATATTCCTCAAAATCCTTCGGCGTCGTACGGGCTTCAAAATGTAGTGTCAAAGAGCATATAAAAAACACATGGTTTCGCAACACGGATGTTCAAGAAAAGCTTGCGCGTTTTCGCGAATTCTTAAGAAAACCATTGGATGATCAACATTATCACAAAATGACCAAACGGACTTCGCGCGCGCATGTCGAAATCGTTCGAACGCCCTTGCGCGCGTGCCGTCGCGAGAATCCGTTGCAA